TCCCTTGGGTCAACGTTGGAGAAGGGATTAGCTCTGCTCCAGTCGCTCTCCTTGATCTCTACTGTCCAGAGTGGGAGGTGTGGCCAGAAGGAGCCCAGGTTTGTCCTGACCAGGGTCCAGCCTGGCACCAGAGTGACCAGTTCTGACCTCTACTTTCCTCACCTTGGTCAGAGAGAGACACCAGATGAGGGACATGAAAAGGAGTGAAAGTACAAATGTGTGTCTGTTTCCACAGAGCAGAGGGTATCGGCCCCCTGCCCAGCTGTGCAGGGGAGGGTGGGGCGAGACTTTTCCAGAGAGGGAGCCAGGCCTGGCCCCACCCCAGGAGCTCACGTCACCCCCACCCCTCACTTCTCCAGGGAACTGCCAAAGCCAGCTCAGGACAGGATTATGTGTACTGGGTAGACCCGTGAAGAGAAGCAGCAAGAATAGACCCGGGGAGTCGAGGGGAGCCCAGGAGAGGGGAGTGGAGCAGGCAGTGACCATCACCCTGTCTCTGCTTCCCTTCATCCCCAAGTAACATCCAGGCAGAGGGCTGAGAGTTGGGTTGGAATGTGGGTCCTTCTCTGGAACCCTATCTCCCCCTCCCATCAGGGCAGAGTTGCTGACCTCAGTGGCCAGCCCAGCCAGGGGAAAGAGAGGCCACCATCAACCCCCTCTCCAACTCCAAGCAGCTGAGGTGGCCCTGCCCTGTGGCTCGGCCACTTTGATCCCTCCCTCCAACTCTGAGTCCTGGGGTCCAACAGAGAGGCTGGAGCTGAGTGGTGCTACCCCCAAGCGCATTCCTACCCTTCCCTCTGCGTTTTCCTGCCCCTAAGCTGGCTCGGCCTCCTTGGATTCTTCAACGGGTGCCTTTCAGATCCAACAGAAACAGTGCTTTTTTTTCCTGGAAAGCAGAACTAAGACGGGATGGGGATGGGGGTGGGAAGGGTTCATAGTGAGAAGGAAGGGACTGGAGGGCATGGGTGGGTGAGTCAGGCTTTGACCAAGCCCCACTTCCCCAGTTTTCAGAGCTAGACTCCAGAATAGACTTCCCAGCATTCCAGAATGAAAGGGCTGTGCCCTTGCTGCATGGCTGTCCTTCCCAGGTTTCCCCAGCCATTACAGCTGTGCCCCAAGAGAAAAATAACTGCATGAATAAGGCCCCCCAGAGCCCATGCTGAATGGATGCTGGCATGGAGGGGAGTTAAATCACCCTCTTCTCTAGAGATGAAGCCATCAACCCACTTAGTTTATTCCTTGGCCAAAAGCGTCAGAGACAGGCTGGGATGGGCCTGTTCCATCCATAAAGCAGCTTGGCTAAGGGAAGAAAAGGCCGGAGTCAGGTAGGAAACAGAGGGGGTGTCTGACGTCCTGCCCAGCCTGCTGCCCACCTTCCCAGGGAGCCCCGGAGGGCAGGAGCCGGCCAGATAAAACCCTGAGGACGAACAGCTTCTGGGCCTGCGCTGCCCCCCCCACACACACAGCCCCTCCTCCGGACTTAGGGAGGAGCTGAGAAGTCCCTACAGGGCCAAGGGGAGGGGACCAAGCTGAGTTGGGAGGCTGAGGTCAGACCCCCACCCTGTAGCTTCAGCAGATGGAGAAGGCAGCATTCCTTCCTGCTCCCACCCTCAGATCATAAAGGGTTGGACTCGTCCCCCCACCCCTGCTCCCGAGATGTCCTTCTGAGGAGTCACCTCTCTCAGCCCTCCAGCTTGCTGAAGAGGTAACCACCGGCTTCTGTCCCTGCAGAGCGCAGTCTCCACGCCCTGATGCCTGAGTAGGGATCCTGGCCGGTCCCCTCCTCCCTTGCCCAGGGGCAGTGCAGGGCGGAGAGATGGAGAAGTGGGTGGGCAGGTAAGAGGAGGGGCAGCCAGCGAGGAGGGAAGGCTCATCCATGGATGTGGGTGGAAGGGTCACTGGGAGGGTCCAGGAAAGTGAGGAGAAACTTCTGCTTTCTGAGAAGTTGGCAGAAGTGGGAGTCGCTGGGGGGGAGGGGCGGGCGGTGTCGCAACACCTCTGGCTCTGCTGGTGCATCCTGGCCTTTGGTTTGCAGGCCCCGCCTGTGTCTTATGCTGCTTCTGTCCCTCCCTCAGCTCTGCCTGGACCAGGAGGTGAGCCCTGGGCAAGTGGGCGGCCACCAGCCCCTGCCTGGGGTCTTTCTGTCTCCCCTAGCCTCCCAGGCCGCCTCCCCAGGCCAAGTCTCCATTTCCCACACCTTCTGCTGAGCTGTGGTCCCCTTCCCTCATGCTTGGCCCCCTCAACTCCCTTGCTAACTCCCTAATGCTTGACAAGGACACCGAAGGCTGAGGTCGCCTCTGATGTTGACCTTCAGCCAGTAACAACTGGCCAGCTCCAGGCCTGGACTAGGTACCTGGAGGGTCCCCCTCAGGTCACTCTAATTCTGTCTGCCCTTTTTCTCTATGTAGGTGTTGTCTGAACAGTCTCCTCAGACACCCCCAGAGGAGGGCCGGGGCCCTGAGGGTGTCTGGGGATCTTGGGACCAGTGGGCCTCTTGCTCCCAGCCCTGTGGGGTGGGGGTGCAGCGCAGAAGCCGGACATGTCAACTCCGCCCAGGCCTGCCCTTCCCTCCCAGACCCCCAAGACATCCAGAAGCCCTTCGACCCCGGGGTCAAGGCCCTAGACCTCAGACTTCCCGAGAAACCCACTCCCTGTACAGGCCACTGCCTCAGGGAAGGGGTGGCCCCCTTCGAGGAGGTCCTGCTTCCCAACTAGGGAAAGAAGAGACCCAGGAAGCTCAGGGGCCACAGAGGTAAGGCTACGAGGACAGGGGTGGGCCTTGGGTAAAGGGGTTGGGGCTTGGTGTAGAAAAGGGTAGTAAAGGACACTGTGGTCTAGGAAGTTGGTCTTTGGTGCCAAGAAGTAGGCTGGAGAGACAGGTCAGTGATGACCAGAGCTATGACCCCATGTCTGCAACACCTCTTCAGGTCCCGGGTTCGAGACCCCATCAAGCCAGGAATGTTCGGCTATGGAAGAGTGCCCTTTGCCTTGCCACTGCATAGGAGCCGCAGGCACCCCCGGAGGTCGTCCAGATCTGAACTTCCCCAGACCTCTTCTGGAAGGGAAGGACACTTTCCAACCCTGAGTCCCAGAGCAGAGCCATCCTCTGCAAACCACGGCTCCCAGACTCAGCTCCCTCCTCCAGAACCATCTGCCCATATCCCATCCCTCCCAGAAGAACCCCCAAAGTCTGAAGCTGCTCAGAACGAGGTGCCCCCAAGAACCAGTCCTGTCCCCACACAGCCTCACCCCATAGCCCAAGCCTCTAGCACAGGGTCTCCCTCACCTTCCCCTTCCTTGGGAGAAAGTGGCTCTTTCCACATGTCTTCTCAACCAAGAATGCCAAATTCTCAGGGTTGGGCCAGTCCCTGGGTAGCAGGAAGCCGCCTTGACCCTTTCCCTTCTGTCCCTCGGGGACAAGGTCAGCAGAGACAAAGGCACTGGAGACCTGGGGGAAACCCTTATGGGTCCCGCATGGAGCCTGCCCCTCATCCACCAGATGGCTGGTTGCCTCTGCTGAATGCTGGACCCCACTCCAGCTCCCTCTGGAGCCTCTTTGCTCCTAGCAGCCCTGTCCCAAGATGCTCTGGGGAGACTGAGCAGCTGAGAGCCTGCAGCCAAGGGGTGAGTCCTTCCCTGGGCCTTGTCTCCCTAGCCCAGAATTCCAATCTGGTTCCCTAACACTGAGTCTGGGTCCTTGTCTGACCTGGACCTGAGGGAGAAGGGTTCTGGCATCTGATCTCAGGGTGGGGATTAGGTGCTCTTTCATAGACCTGACCCTCCCCAACTCCCCAGGTCCAGCCCTGGCCCACACCCAAGTATCCCTTCCCGGTTCTCTTTTGTGTCCCCCCACCTCAGCCCTGCCCACCTGAGCAGCCAGATCCCCGGGCCCTACAGTGCGCAGCCTTTGACTCCCAGGAATTCATGGGTCAGCTGTACCAGTGGGAGCCCTTCACTGAAGGTGAGGTGCTAGCTGCGGGAGAGCAGGTGAGCGTGATGGAGGGAGGGCCCCGTGCTTCCCCACGCAGGCCTTCTCTTTCTCTTCTGTCATACCTTCTTACTCCCCTGAGCTGGGCCAGAGAGATTTGGGCCAGAGAGATTTAGCCCAGCTCTGGAAAGGGGAGGGGACTTTAGATGTCAGATGGTGACACGTGGTCAGCAAAAGCGTCAGGCTGGGAGAGGGAGCTATCCAGAAGTGTCCTTTGGTTAGCTTCCTCTGGGAACATGTCCATCCTAAGAGGTGGGAAGTTGATGTGACACGGGAGGTCCTGTGCAGACGGCACAGTAGGAGCAGAGGTGCCACGGGTCCTGGTGGTTTCCGTTGCACCAAGACAACCCTTATAAGCTTTGAACTTATGTAATCATAGGTGGTAGAAGTCCCTTAATGGCCAGGGGCAGTGACAAGCACCTGTAGTCCCAGCTACTTGGAAGGCAGAGGCAGGAGGATGACTTAAGCTCAGGACTTTGAGACCATCCTGAACAATAGAGAAACTCCATTTCAAACAAAAAGCAAACCTTGATGGTCTCATGGCCTCTATTGACCTGATCAACGTTTCTTCTTTTTTTTTCTTTCTTCTGTTTTTGGTACCAAGGGTGCTAAGCCACTGAGCCACATCAACAGTCTTTTTTTTTTTAATTTTGAGACAGGTCTCACTGGGTTCTTACAGCGTTGCTGAGTTGCTGGGGCTGGCTTCAAAGCTGCGATTCTCTTGCCTCACCTCCTGACATTCCAGGCTCTCACCAGTGTTTCTTTCTTTTCTTTTTTTGGTGGTGCTGGGGATTGAACCCAGGGCCTTGTGCATGCAGGGCAAGCACTCTACCAACTGAGCTCTGTCCCCAGCCCTCTCACCCGTCTTTCAATGTGTGGGACTGTTATGTTTCCTTCAGTCACACCGATTCACGTAACCTCAAGATGTCCCAAGGTGATATCAGTAAAGCTGCTGTCAGGACTCGGGGCTCTTTCACTCTTGGTCTCTCACCAGGGACCCTGGCTAACCAACCTTCTACCTTGTCTTCTAGTTCAGGGATCCCAACGCTGTGAGCTGAACTGCCGTCCCCGCGGCTTCCGTTTCTACGTCCGTCACACTGAAAAGGTCCAGGATGGGACCCTGTGTCAGCCTGGAGCCCCCGACATCTGTGTGGCTGGACGCTGTCTGGTGAGGGAGGACAGGGTGTGCATGTGCACACAGTCTCTTTCAGTCATCGTTACAACCACAAAGTAACAGACTCCCCCAGGGGAAGCGCTGGCCTGCCACGCTGAGGAGGGCTCCCGTCAGGCTCCCCACATCCCCGAGCGTGGCCAGGGCGCTGGGGCTGGTGAAGAGCACCGCAGCAAGGCTGGTGATGAGCTGAGGGCCCCGCGTGGACCAGGGTGAGTAACGGGGCATCTGGTTTCCATGTGACCCTGCCTCACCTCACTCTTCCCAGAGCCCTGGCTGTGATGGCATCCTCGGGTCTGGCAAGCGTCCAGATGGCTGTGGAGTCTGTGGGGGTGACGGTTCTACCTGTCGCCTCATTTCGGGGAACCTCACGGACCGAGGGGGCCCTCTGGGCTATCAGAAGATCCTCTGGATTCCCGCTGGCGCCTCCCAGCTTCAGATTGCCCAGCACCGGCCCAGCTCCAACTACCTTGGTGAGCACCTGGCCCCCGTCCTGTCCCACCTCCCTCTGGTCTCTCGGTTCTGCTTCCCAGGCTCCTGTTCAGCACGACACACAAGCCAAACAGGGAGAAGTTCCCTCTCTTTCTGGGGAAATGAGGAAGCCGAGATGGCTTAGGGTATCTTAAGCGCTGGGTGGGATGCACGGAAGGGTCAGGAAGTAGTGGGGAGGAGGACACAATGACTAACCTCCAAGTTCCGGATCTCTCCCTTTCAGCTCTTCGTGGCCCTGGGGGCAGGTCCATCATCAATGGGAACTGGGCTGTGGATCCCCCTGGGTCCTACACAGCTGGTGGAACTGTCTTCCAGTATAACCGTCCTCCTCGGGAGGAGGGAAAGGCAGAGAGTCTGTCAGCTGACGGCCCCACAACCCAGCCTGTGGATGTCTATGTGAGCCGGGGGCTGAGAGGAAGGCCTGTCCTCTAAGAGCAGAGCCATAGGGGTCCCGTGGGAGGACCCCACACCACCCCCTGATCACCTCCTCTCTCCCCCAGATGATCTTTCAGGAGGATAACCCTGGGGTCTTTTATCAGTATGTCCTCGCTTCACCACCTCCAGTCCCCCAGAGCGCCACTGCGGAGTCTCCCATCCATCAGGTTCAGCCTGGTAAGACGCCATTGACCCCCAGACCCAGGAGGAGCGGAGAAGCCGAGAGGAGCTCCAGGTGGTAGGAGGCGTCTGATCTGCCTTCTCAACTCCCCTGCACAGGGAGGCTGAGGGGGGAGCCCCCAGCTGCTTCAGCACCCCGCCCAGTCCGGACCCCAGGCACCCTCCAGCGCCAGGTACGGATCCCCCAGATGCCTGCCCCTGCCCATCTCAGGACACCCCTGGGGTCTCCAGCTGGATACTGGAAACAAGTGGGACACTCCAGGTGCTCAGCGTCCTGTGGAGAAGGTGACTTCAGACCTATGTTCCTGACATTTCAGTCCAGATGCCCAACTCGACACTCCCAACTACGTATCCTAGATCGTGGGTCCACACCTTGACCTGGGACCTGGGACCCCATGGAAACTGGGGTTTAAACCATCCTGCTTCCCCTGACTACCCTTTCCTCCCCTTCAGGTGTTTGGCGCCCCATTTTCCTGTGCATTTCTCGAGAGTCAGGAGAGGAGCTGGACGAACACAACTGTGCCATGGGTGCCAGGCCTCCAACCAACCCTGAACCCTGCCACAACCCCCCGTGTCCTCCATAGTGAGTAGAGCCCACAAAGAGGGTCAGGATACTAGAAACACACAAATTGCTCCTGGATTTGCTCCTCACTCACAGGATCTTACCTGGACTGTGCATTCAACTTGACATTTCCTGGCTGCAAAGAGATAATCAATACTAGATTAGAATGGTTGAGATAACTGGGGATGTGGCTCAGTGGTAGAGCACTTGCTTAGCCTGGGTAAGGCCCTAGGTTTGATCACCAGCAGCAAGGGGAAAAAAGAAAAAACAGAAATCGAAAGAGGCAAGAGAAATTAACTGGGAAACATCCAATTCCTTTTGCCAAATGGGGTGGCACATGCCTATAATTCCAATGATGAGAGGCTGAAGAAGAAGGATCACAAGTTCAAGGCCAGCCTCAGCACTTAGTGAGACCCTAAGCAACTTAGCAAGACCCTGTCCCTGCCGTAAAAAATAAAAAGGGCTAAGGATGTAGCTCAATGGTAAAGCCCTCTGGATTCAATCCCCGTACCCAAAAAAGGAAAAGAAAAGATTGGGGCTGGGGCTCAGTGGTAGAGCATTTGCCTAGCATGAGTGAGGCACTGGGTTTGATCCTCAGCACCACATAAAAATAAATAAAATAAAGGTCCATCAACAACTAAAAAAATATTCAAAAAAAAAGAAAGAAAGAAAAGATTAGAATGACTGACACCCCATAGACAGCAAGAAAACCCCGGCAGTGGCAGTCTAAGTTGCCACAAGGAACCAGACTCCAAATGCTAGAGGTGCCCACTCTCCTCCATGGGGCCCCATGCCCAGTATGTTTCTTCTCCTTGCACACGGCAACCCCACACATCTGGTCCCTGTCTCTCCCTCTCCCCTGCCCTGCCTGTGCCCACAGTTGGGAGACTGGTGAGTGGACATCCTGTAGTCGCTCCTGTGGCCCAGGCACCCAGCACCGCCAGCTGCACTGCCGGCAAGAGTTTGGGGCAGGTGGCTCCTCTGTGCCTCCGGAACGTTGTGCACATCTTCCCAGGCCCAACGTGACCCAGCCCTGTCAGTTGCGCCTCTGTGGCCATTGGGAGGTGGGCTCTGCCTGGAGCCAGGTAAGTGGGCCTTTGCAAGGAGGACCCCAGAGAATTGGACATCAATGAACTAGATTAGTATTTTTTCCACTTCCTTCTTCGTCTACAGAAACTTTTTACAAACAGGATCTCATATGAAATCCTAATATATGTCATATAAGAGAAGAACCAGAGACTGGAGGCCTGGAGCCCCATGCTCAACCTCCTCCTCAACCCACAAAAGCTTGTACCCACTGGGTAGGGGTGGCTATCAAAGGCAGATCCTGGTTGATGGATTCCCCCTCACCCCCTCAAGTGTTCTGTCCGGTGTGGCCGAGGTCAGAGGAGCAGGCAAGTTCGCTGTGTTGGAAACAACGGCAAGGAAGTGCATGAGCAGGAGTGTGCTTCGGGCCCCCCCCAGCCCCCCAGCAGAGAGGCCTGTGACATGGGGCCCTGTACCACAGCCTGGTTCCACAGTGAATGGAGTTCCAAGGTGGGCCCCTCAGCCCCTTAACCAAGTCCTGTATCCCTGGTGACCCCACTGAGTCCATCCTATCAGTCTTCTCAACACAGCTCAAAATGCATTTATTGAAAAAATACCTATTATGTGCTTTATACTGGGAACTCAGAAATAAGTGAGGAAAAACTTATGTCAGAGTTCTGGACATGCAACTGTCATTACCCTTGCCCATCTGGTACCTCTGGGGCATTGCCAAACCTCTGGGAACAGGACCCAGGATGCTTCCATCCCAAAGCCCCCTCTTCCTGTTCCAGTCACCAGCAGCCTCCCTTCATACAGGACACTCTACTTCTCAACAGTGCTCAGCTGAGTGTGGGACAGGGATCCAGAGACGTTCTGTGGTCTGTCTCAGGAGTGGGGAGATGCTTAGGGCAGGGCCAGAGGAAGCAGGAACAGGAACCAGTGAGCAGAGCTGCCCACCAGGAAGCCGCCCTCCTGACATGCGTGCCTGCAGCTTGGGGCCCTGTGAGATCACAAGGTGTTGGTACACAGGGCCCTGGGGGGAGGTGAGCTGAGGGTCTGGGAGGGGGACAGAGCGGGGATTCCAGTCCCAGCAGGAGTTCACATCCCCAGTTGGGAATGATTTCTGTTTTCCCTTCCCCTATATCAGTGCTCCTCAGAATGTGGCTCTGGCACACAGCGTAGAGATGTCATCTGTGTGTCCAAACTGGGGACTGAGTTCAATGTGACTTCTCCTAGCAACTGTTCCCACCTGCCCAGGCCCCCTGCTCTGCAGCCCTGTCAGGGTCAGCCTTGCCAGGACCAATGGTTTGCTACTCCCTGGAGTCCGGTGAGTGCCTGGTTCCCTGCCCTGCTCAGCCTGGGCCTCCAGAGAAGAGGGAGTGCTCATCACACCCCAAGTCTCTGAGCCCCAGGACAAGCCCAGCTGAGGTTTCACATTGTCCTATTTTCTATAGACTTGGAGAACAGGTGGGCCTTTTCTCCACTTGGGATTTCATAATGTCCCCAGATAATGTGCCATCACTACCTTTCAGAGAAGGAGGTGGTAGCCTGGGGTTAAAGAGGAACCCTGGGGTCAGCAAAAGTCTGATATGATAGCTGTGTTCTTCCTAGTGTTCTCGCTCCTGCCAGGGGGGCACACAGACAAGAGAGATCCAGTGCCTGAGTGCCAACCAGACCCTCAGCACTGGATGCCCTCCACACCTGCGACCCTCCAGGAAACGACCCTGTAACAGCCAACCCTGCAACCAGCGCCCTGGTAAAATGCCCCCTCTCCCCAACCCCCAACAGAGTGGAGTTAGCTGAAGTCTGGGTGGAGGAGAGAGAGGACCAGTGGGAGGGGAGTACAGCTCCGGATGGATGAACCCTTGTACCTGTTGGCCTCCTCTGTCCTCAGATGATCAGTGCAAGGACAGCTCTCCACATTGCCCCCTGGTGGTACAGGCTCGGCTCTGCGTCTACCCCTACTACACAGCCACCTGTTGCCGCTCTTGTGCGCATGTCCTGGAGCGGAGCCCCCTGGAGCCTGCCTGAAATGGTTCCAGGACACTCTCTCCTTATGTTTTCTTATGCCATCACTGGTCTCATCAGTCAACCCACTTTGTACTCCCTGGTTCTCCAGACTGCCTCAGTCTCACCAGGGTGTCCTCCAGGATGACTACAGGGGCAAAGTGACTGAAGGGGACTATCAAGATGTGTGATTGGGTCTGTATATGTGGTATGATGGTGTGTGTGCACAGATGTCCCCAGATGTGTATCTGGGCCTGCAGGGGTGTGCACCCCCTTACATGTGTGTCACTTCCCAAAAAGAAATTATTTAAATTGATAAGGAGTGGGGGGGGGGCAATACTTGTTTCCCTGAGACTTTTCTAAGCTGAGAGAAAAGCAAGTTTGCAGTTCCTTACTAATCTGAGCTACTTAAAAAGTGTGGCTTCTCCATCAAATACAATTTTGTGCCCTAAACCTCATTTCTTATGTTCAGGCCTCACATCTTCTAAACCATCCTTTTGGACTGGGGGCTGGAGCTCAGTTGTAGGGCACTTGCCTAGCATGCCCAAGACAAGTACTAGGTTCCATCCCCAGTACTCCAAAAATTAAAAATGAACCACCCTTTTGTCTTTGATCCCATTTCCCCTTACCCAGACTCTTATTTCTTTCTCCCTACTTAGCTAAGGGTGGGAGGTCAGCCATATCAATCCTGCTTTACCCACAAAAGACTGCCTCTTGGAACAGGGACCAGTTGGGCAGAAGGTGGAAAAAAGAAATGTTACCATAAGACACTCTAGCCTCTGTCCCCACTTCCCACCTCCTAAAATAGTTCCTTCCCCAGAACTAATTTATTTTTTATTAAAGTTGATTAAAAAAATCTTAAAAAAAAAATGCGTAAAAAGCGGAGGGCTGCTGGGGATGTGGCTCAGTGGTTAAGCACCCCTGGGTTCAATCCCCAATATCAAAACAAAAACAAAAAACGTGCCTGGGTCAAAGGGAGAGGATCCTGGCCAGCCTCAGTCTTGCAGGTCACTCACTGGCCACTAGGAGTCACCACTTCTCCCAGTTTAGATGTGAAGTTGGGATCTTGGATCCTGAGCTATGGGGGTTCTTGGGAGGCTCTCT